TATCAAAAATTCTTGCACCATTAAAAAGCTACGTCTTCAGTAATAAGGCTATACATTATTATTTTTTTAATTTTACAGGGACGAAGTCGCGGGCACCAGATAGTATTTAATAACTAGTTGATACTGGCGACTTCGTCCGTGTGTAATTAAATAATAAAAAATGTAGCCTATGTTATTCACAGATAAATTACTTTTCAAACAGTGAAAGAATTTTTAAAATCGGCCCAGTAGTTTTAGAGTTATTTCAATACATACAAAAATACATTTTCCCCGGGTTTTTTTTCCCACATGATTGTTTTTTCCGGGTAAAATCCCATCTCTAATGATAAGCGACATCCTACATAATAAACAAGTGTATTTACTTTTATTACATTAAGCATAGACTAAGACGGGAAGTAATGAGAAAAGTTAGTGACCAACTAACAATTCTGAGTGCGAAGTAAACACTTACCGTGCTGCTGCAGTCTCTCTAGTCGGCGGTAGAGGCGCTCGCGCTGCTGCTCCACATCCTTCTGCTGCTCCTCCAACTCCTGACGAGCTACTGCCAGCTGTCGGCGCTCTGAAAACAGGATATTAAATAAGTGAGAGGGATGACAATATCTTTACCAGTGTTTCGGCAGTAGAAAAAATTGGTAATACAATAAATGCTTAGGCCTACTTTCCCCATGCTATCCTTGTTATTTACGGGAAGAGGAGGATTTGGCAGAGGTGGAGACATAGAAAAGGAATATTCTCTTCCTGAGTCCCCTCCTCTGATGAATAAAGTCTACCTTTACACATCTGTAATAGTAGTCTATGGGCAATCGTCATTTCGCTATTTTGGCGAATTCAAATGTGCACTTCCTTGTTTTACCACCTTTAATAATGAACTGAGTAATTTGATAGCCATTTAAGTAATCCCTAAGTATACAATTCATATACTCCTTCTACACTAAAGGGTCACTAGTAACTATTAAACAACTCTGAGTACGGTATTAATAGATGTTTAAGCAGATATATGTCTGAAAGTACCAGGACTTCATAAACCAGAGGTGTACATACCGTCAGCCAGTGAGGCGTTGTCTGCAGCGCGCTGCGCCTCCCACGCCGCGCGTTCCGCGGTGAGACGCGCCTGCGCGTGCCGCAGCTCCTCCAGTTGCGCGTCGTGCGTACGCAGTGACACACCCCCGCTGCAGCGCCACGCGCATACCTGCGCCTCCAGGCTACACGCAAATCATACTAATATTATAAATGCGAAAGTTTAGATGGATGGATGGATGTTAGGATAGATGTCTATGGTTTTACTAATAGAAGTCAACTAAGAACCTTATACAGGGTGTACTTACCTGTGTATAGTGGTGAGCTGTTGCCACACGATGCACGTAAGGGTGTATATCGCGTGCTGCAGCTTGAGCGCCGCGTCGCCTCCTAGCTGGTCCAGCAGGCGCGGCTCCTCGCCCCCAGCCTCCTCCTGCTCGCCTGGTGCCCCACCCTCCATAGCCGTGTCCGTTGATAAACGGACTGCTACTCCTGGATTCATATTATCGTGAATTTCCACTGCCGAAACAAGCAAAAACATGTTTAGAGATATTTAGTTAAATTTAAAGTACCATGGTACCAGTACCGTATATACAGAACTTCGTATGAAGTGCTCTGAATGCGACAAGGGATAGGGGATAGCAATCAATGGGGGAAACCTATGTTCAGCAGTCAACAACTTTTGACTAACGATCGAGAAGGTACCAGGAGTACACAACTATTACTTATAGCTAGCATTATTTATAACTAGCAGGTTTCGTTGAAGCTGGATATCAATACTAGCTGTTGCTCGCGACTTTATCCACGTAAAAAAATAATTAACTAGCTTTTTATTAGTGTAAGTATCGAAATCGGCCCAGTAGTTTTTGAGTTATTTCAATACATACAAAAATACAAATACTTCCTCTTTATAATCATACTAAAAATAAAATAAATATATGTGAAAGTTTAGGTGGATGGATACATGGATGGATGTTTGTTATAGTTTGTAGTCTAAACGGCTGAACGGATTTCGATGAAATTTGGTATAGATGTGATAGTCTGGAAGAACACATAGGCTACTCAATTTTGTGTTTTTTTTTTTAATGCTACGCGGACGGAATCGAAAGCTAGTATAGATATATATAGCTATAGATAAGAAGAGGGACATTAACAAAATATTATTTACATCAAAACATCATACAAATGAATTCTTTATTTATTAATTTAACATTTTAAAGTACCAGGAGTACATAAGCTCGAAGTACCTCTATGTTTAGCAGCGTCAAAGCCGGCGAAAGTGTCAGCACGCCTCGGCAGCGCGGGGCTCTGGTAGGCGCTGGAGTGTCGCTCGCCAGCAGAGCTGGTGCTGCGGCCAAGTGCAATGCCACCCGTCCACGTGCCGCTGGACGCTTCTAATGCATCCTGAGACCAAGTCAATCATCAAAGAGACCATCGATTATTAAAAACTTAATAAATAGATGGTTTAATTTAGCAGTTGGAATTCAATGCCACTGTCCTTACCTTGACAACTTTGCAGACTTCCTGCCAGAGGGCGTGAGTGTCGGGTGAGGGCGCAGACAGCCGCACATAGTCCGGAAACACTAGCCCTCCAGGGAACACTGACGTTATACCTACAACATGATATCTTACTAGTTGTGGTTCGCGACTTCACCCGCGTAAATTAAAAAAAATTATAAAAAATATAGTCTGTTATGAGTTAAATAATAAATTACCTTTCTAATGGTGAGTTGTTTTTATGTGACTCAAAAACGTACAAAAATACAAATCTTTTCTCCTTATAATAGTAGCTTTCACCCGCGACTCCGTCCACGTGGAATTAAAACAAAAGTGAGTAGCCTATGTGTTCTTTCAGACTATCCTCTACATCTGTACTAAATTTCACCGAAATCCGTTCAGCTGTTTAGGCTACAAACTCTAACAAACATCCATCCATCTAAACTTTCACATTCATAATATTAGTTAGAAGTTAGATAGATTAGTAAGTATGACAGAATTTTGTATGGGCTCCCTAAGGAACCAGTTAACAACTCTGAGAGTCCAATTCATCTTACTAAAAGAAAATTCAGTGGTATCTGTGCTTAACCCGTTTTAACATAGGCGTCAGTACTTATAAATTTCTACAAAAGTACCAGGCTCACATAAATGACAAAGAAGACAATCTTACCCGTATGAGGCACATCCAACGTAGATGATCCAGTATGTCCGACCATCTTCATATGTAACGCCATTTTCTCTTCTAATAGTACCGCGTGCTCGCGATCTTTAAGTCGCAATGCCTCTGTAAAGTTGAAAATTAAATCTATATTATTAAAAAGAAGGAAGATTTGTATTTAAGTAATGAATAAACTCAACTACTTAGTGAATAAAGTCAAAGATATTTAAAATCGGTTCTGTGGAAAGAGTTGTAGTTGAAATTTACCCATGTAGATGGTACATTTAGTCGTATTTACTACGAGAAACATAGTATCATGTTAGGAGAGGTCATGTTAAGAAATGAGTCGAAAGGAAGGAATTTAAAAATATATGTTTTACAAAAACATGCTTTTCCATGCAAAACGTTATAAAATTTCATTAATATAAATCACCTTCTATATGCCACCACGGTGTTTCATCTGACAAAAAACAGCGATATATTTATTACTGCTCTACAAAACTATACCTAAATTCAAACACATAAAGCGCACATTTGCGTGAAAGCAAAATAAAATTCCTTTGAACAACAGCAATATTACTAATCTTCTAATTAAATAAGGCTATTGAAAGATAAACCTTATTACCATATTATAACTTCGTTTATCATTTGTCACAGTTTTGTACCTAACAGTCTTGTTAGTCAAAGAGTATACTTGGATTAAAGAGATTAAATATATAGAGTAGGCATAGTTTACATTTCGCTTTTTTCACAAACATTTTTCATATAATCTCTACTACTAGCGCTACAATAACTGATAGAAAAAAAATTAAAAAAAAAACACTAAAAAGCGTCTCGGCGTATTAAACTTGACACTGACGTTACCGTACACAGAAGTTACCGGTGAAAAAAATATTGTTCCCCTTGTCTAGTGTATATATTTCTTACATGTTTGACTTGTGTTGAATACGAGGTTACCTGTGATCAGTCTTATGTTCTCGTGGCGTGCCTCCAGCTGTCTCTGTCTCTCCTCGGCGGAGGAAGCGAGAGCGCCTGCTTCAGACTCCTCCACCTCCTCCGGGCAGCTCTGTACTGCTGCCCTGTAAGTACACATTAAAATAATTAAAATATTTTATTGGATTAAAACAATTTGGTACAAAATCGATTGAACTGTCTTTGTACTAGTATAACTTGTGCTTGTTTCAAAAAGATGATGTAATTTCTGTTCCGTTTCTAGAGAATTAATTAAAGAGAAAAAAATGAGAGAATGAAAATGTTATTGTTTACATCTTATTATTGTTTGAATGCTTTAATGGCAACAAAGGTCGTTGACATTTAATGTTACCATGGCAACTTGATTTCCTGCTATTGGCTTGTAGCCTTGTCTCTTTCTTGCATAATATTTTTTTTTCAACTTATTCACTCTCAAAATTAAATAGGGTGGCAATATTTGGCCTATAATAACAAGCCCTACTGACGTCACCCTTTAGACTATATAGTTTTCACGCCATTAAACTTAGGGGGTAGATGTTTTAGATAAAACCCTAATGTGGGAAAGAGACCATAAGTTGCCAACATCAAGGAAGCAGGGTTGCCAAGGTTTGTCAAGTCACGTCATTATTGCTAGAC